GGTTTGGCGCTCAACGAGGATACTCAGTGGGATGCAGACAGAATAGAATCAGCTGCCGGCTATGAATGTGAACACAAGGCCACAGAGGCCAGAGTCTGTGCATAGAGCTCTCTGGAGTTTCCAGAATGAAAACAAGAGGCCTGGATTCAAGTTCTGGCTCTGCCCATGTGGTGCGGTATTACACCTGGCACCTATAAAGTGAGGGCAGGAGGGCAGTGTGAATGGGCTGGGATTTGCAGGGCTGGTTCCTCAGTAAAGGAGTCAGGCTTATCTTACAAGGTGAGAAGGGATAGGAATGTGAGACCTGCCTCTATGGAAAACTGCCTATCAGAACCTAAGAGCTTGGGCCAAATTCTTGAGGTCTAGGGAACTGGATGGAGAAGTTTGATAAAGAATTCTGGGGAAGGTTTTGGGGAAGCTACATAGGGATGGTCTCTGATGACTGCTCTCTGCACAAAGTGTCTGTTGTGGTGAGTATTAGGATCAAACTAGGCTTTCGCATACCTTAAACAGAAAAGGGAAGAAAATCAATGGGTTATTTTTTCCTTCCCTGTAGAGACTGAGTGTACTGACAATTTTTCTTTAGCTAATTAGGAGCTGTGCAACCCAATGACTGACTCCTTTTGAATGTTCTTATTTTACAACAATGAATTCATGACTCATTATTAGTCTTTTAAAAAAAGAAATCCCATGACCTATATGGGAAAACAATCTGAAGAAGACTGGATATATGTGTATGTATAACTGAATCACTTTGCTGTATGCCTGAAACTAACACAGCATTGTAAATCAACTACACTACAATATTACATAAAAATTAAATAGAAAAGAAATTCTAGGAAGAGTAAACAAATCATTCTGGTTTCCTCACCCCTTTCCCTTTCTTCCTCTCTCTCAATAACTCGCCACATGTCCTTATGATTTCTGAATTAATTTCAAGAATTTTAAGAATTTCTGCATCAATCCATTGATACATATTTTTACTGTACCAACTGTGTGCAAAGTACCTAGAAGGTCAAAATATCTTAGGAATTATGGAGTGATATGTACACAGTATGTAGGCCCATTAGTAACTTCTAAACTCAACTCTTCCACCCTTAAAGGCAAAAGTGTCCAAGAAAGGCAGCTGGCATTCCTAAAATAAAAGAGATATACTTTCCTTCTGTGGAACAAGAGAGCCGTGGCTGAACCCAGTGTGGGGCACTCGCCACCTTGCAGGCCAAGCAAACGTTATGAAATTATGAACTTGGAAAAAAGAGTTCAAGAAAACCCAGAGACTTCTTACGCAGAGAGAATGGGGATGTAGAATGGATGGCGGAGCCCCTGGGAGTAAGCAGCTTGAGAAGGAGAAGAGAGGAAGAGAAGCTCAGAAATTCAGCAGAGGGAACCGAACAGTCTGGATGGAGAGAAAGATTACTGCTCTGCCTCACAGCAAGGAAAAGGGTGAGAGAGGGAGCGGGAAGGATGGGGGCATTTCTGTTAGGACCACAGTGTACTGTTGCTAGCTCCTCCTCTGCAGGATTGGGAATCCTCTGGGGGAGACATGGAGCCCAGACAGAGGGGAGAAAGGTCCAGAAGAGAACAAACATAAAGAGTGAATTTCTTGCTGCCCCTGGAGACGATGATTCTGGTGACAACAGAGGTTAATATCCTGAGCAGCACGTCACTGCGTGGCCCAGAGACAGCATGCGTGGAACAAGCTGTTTTAGTGTCCTGTTGTAGATTTTATTGAATTCTTCTCTGAAAGGGCCAATTCATCTCTCCATTTCGAGGCTTTTAAAGCAACTTTCCCGAAAAGTTCAAGAACTTCTCCTATCACTCTCCATTTACATGGGATCCATGAGCAGACAGACCTGCCCCCCGCGCCCTCAAATCCCAGTAAGGACACTAGCTTGCCAAGGGTCTTAAGTTCACACACAGAGACACTCCTGCTGCTCACCCTGCAGAGGGAGAGAAGAAAGGCTGTGATTTCTTCTCGATTCCTCTCCCTCTCCTGCTGTGTCAGCCCCTAACAGGTGGTCCTGGCCCCTTCTCATGCCTCAACAGACAAATTCATTTCAAAAACAGTCATGGATGCAAGGAAATGTTTTCTGATTCTTATTTTCACCAAGAAGTGAACAGAAAAAAGTCATCTCTGGGGACAAAAAGGCTTAATGTAAACCAGATAGCCAAAGAGACCAGAAGAAGATAGGAGGCGGTTTTTCACCTGGAGTCATTAGCAGCATCTTGGGGAGAAGACTAGAAATCTGTTCACAACTTTCTGGGTACGAGCAGGAAACATAACAAAGGGGTGATGGGAAATCTTTTCTGAAAGTACAGTTTCTCACCAAAAACAGAGGTTGGGAAAACCAGACGACTTGGTTTTCATAAAGGCTGATCCTATTTGGAATGCTCAAAACAGCAAGCACACGAATGCCCCACAAGAACCAACTATGCCAACCTGCAGAAATAAGTGCACTTGTAATCTTTGGAAATCAGTGCAGTTTTTGAGAATATGTATCTTTAACACCTTCAAACCACATCCTAAGTGGCCAAGGCCCAGCTTCCTAAGAGGGGGGTGCAGTGTCTCAGGCTTACAAAACCCCATATGGACAGAGGTTTGGGAAATTAAAGGCCAGGTTGAACTGGAGCCCTGAGTATCAACCTTTCCTGCCTGGGCTACAAATGGAAAAGGAACAGCAATCCCTAAGGCAACTTGGGCCAGCCCCCAACCCACCATTGTCTGGAGGCTTCAATCCTGGGGAGAAGAGCCGAACCCAGGGCTCCTGGGAGCTTCACACAATCCTTGGGACATGTTGCAATACTAACCCTTTTAGGGATGATCCTGGGAGCGAGGTGGGGTTACAGCTTGGAGAGAAAGTTGAAGGGGGTGGGCAGTACATTTGGGGATGTGGACACCAAACAGATGGAATTTTAATGAAAATACTTAAGCCTTTTAACGCACAAGTTATCCAAATCCACCTCTAGTCCTCTTCCCTTACAGGAATTAGAAAAATGTTTAAAAGATCATAGTATTAAGAATTTTCAAACAAAACCCTGATAAGAAAGTATATTTATTCCAAGTCACCAATGTCTGGGAATATTTCTTCTAAAACCATGTCCTGTCTTTAATCTCTCGGCTGTATATCTTCGTCCGTCTAACTAAAATCCAAGCAAGGCAAATTGCTTCTATGATCATTTCCCTAAAGCAACCTTCATTCACTTTGCTTTTCTTCTTAAAGTCTGCCATAAATGTTTAATTAAATGGAAGTCTTTCCACTGTTAATGACTAGCTGCATGAAAGGCTATTCATTTTTTGAAGGAGAGGTGTGTTTAAAACAGTGCCTATTAATTTCCCGATATTGATTCTCTGGCTGGGGAAGAGCATATAGTATTCAGCATAGAGCTCCTCTGCAGACTATGTTCAAGGCAGCGGTTTGGATTGAGAAAGGGCACCAAATGCAGTATGCGTCAAATAGACCATCGCTCAATGAAGTCACTTAGCTATTCAAAACATGTTCAGCCATCACTCAACCATTTGCACCAAGATTGTTGGGAGGGGGGCACCGAATTGGTGCTCTTTCCCCAGGCATAATCATTTCCCAAAGAGCAGCTTTTGCTCAGTTTGGGTTGGACTCTGGGGCCACATCAGTTCTCTTCCTCTTAGTCCGTTTCCCTCTCTTCTCCCCTGTCTCCTGGCTTCAACTCCCTGCACCACCATCCCATGTTGAGCTTAACAAACAATCCTGCAGTCCCCGCTTCCTGACGCTGCTCAAACGGCCTCCGTATTGGTTCATATCAGAAGCAAAGCACATCAGCTTTTCTTTCCACCCAGAAACATGTATCTCTCTGAGTATGTCTTTCTACGGGTGGCTGTAGCTTATACACACAGACACAGATAGCCACTCACATGCAGCCCCCTATATTAAAGTCTGTTGCTAAATGCAGGTTGTATGACCTGCAGGAGTTTCCTGCCCCCCTCCCTGTGTTTATTAATGTGTGTCAGAAGCACATGCTTTCATCCATACCCTGATCTCCCAGCCTTTCCTCTGTGGGACCACTTTGTCCACAGCACATACACGGGCACACATGTCCCAGTGACCCTGCAAGATCAAGGTAAACAGCTGACACCTCCCCCCTCCCCACAGGTCCCTGTTGTCCCCCCACAACCTCCCCATGCTCTCGCCTCCCTCCCGGCCTCCCTGCACAATGTCTGATTCCCAAGCTGGCTGCAATGCTGACTCTACACGCTTCTGGATAACAGACATGTCACTCTGCGTGGAAGTGAATTGGTTCTCAGCCTAACCTGCAAGTGAATTGCTGTTTATTAGAACTTGGGTTTGTTTCCTGTGAGAGACGTATGTATTTTTAGACTTTGTAAACGTTCAAACACACATACACAGAAGCCAGTCGCCTCGAACGATACGTGTGGCTCATAGACATTACGAAATGCTCTTGAACTCAGCTTGCAATCCTGGAATAATTAGGATTTACCAAATAAGGCGTCTTTGAAATAACAGCTTTTTTCAAAAAAAAGGAGATTTGCAAGTGATGATGTGTCTTGGACTTTTGGGGAGTAAGGGGAGGAGGAGGGGAAAGGAAGAACATTTTGGAATTCTTCATTACGAAAAGAGGAGCAATGTTGAGAGAGGCAATTGTTTTTTTAATCCCCTCAGAGGTGGGCATACTTCATCAAAAGGCAAATCCTAATGATTCCAAAGCAGGTGGAGCACATTTGACTTTTTAAAAACAATCTCTTGTTGTTGTTTTCATCATATCATAGATTATTCCAATGAAGAAGGTTGAGGGAAGGGGGGTGGTGGAGGCTGGAGAGTTGAGTATGATTTTTGCTTATTGATTTTCTTGCCTCTGAAACTCACCCAACCAGCCTTGATCTGTGGTGGAAGGAGTGAAGTAAGAAAATGGTGGAATGTAAAGGGGACTTATTTGGAGGCGGGTGGGGAAGGGGGAGTGAGAAGGGGAGGGGGGTGGGGAGGGGGAGGAGATGGGAAATCAAATACCTTCTAGGCAGCAGGTTCTCCATAATCCAGAATGGGTCATAACTTCCTCGTTCTTTTTGCTGGTTTCATTCTCACTGACACTTTTGGTCTTGCAAACCCCTCTGGAGTAGAGCCAATAGTCGGTTCCCACAGCAATGGTCATCAGACTGAAGGCAGCGAAAGCACCAACCGTGGTTAAAAGCATTTGAACACCTCGATCAAACAGCCCCATAATTCTTCATTATATAAACACCCAACCGACTTCGGGTTCTCGGGAGAGTGTGTGTGAAGGTGCGAGTACTAAAGCAAAAAATAAAAATAATTCCACTAGTAATATAATGGATATATGTGTGAACAGAGGATGTGGAGAGATATAAAAAAAGGGAGGTAAGAAAAGCTCACGGAAAAGAGTGTAAATTATAAAGATCACACGGGAAGAGAGGCTTGCCTTTTGAGATCAGAAACTGTTCCAGTTGCAGTGATTTAAAAAAAAAAAAAAAGGAAAAAATAAAAAGACACCCCCCACCCCCCCAAGTGAGATGCCTTAATCTCTTTTCCTAAAATTCTGGTCTCCAGTTTCCATATGTGATAGCTAATTTGGAGATGGCTTCCACAGTGAACCAGGGAACAGCCGCATTCTCAACACAATCTCTCATGGTCGGGACCTAGACAGTTAGAGATTGTAAAAGCCGAGATGCAACCTTCCGTCTTCGCTCTCGGCTCTGCGGCCTGCGCCATGAAAATCCTTTGCTTCGCCAGTTCTCTTCCTTGGGGGGTCTCGGGAGCTTTCGTTTCAGACCAGACTTCCCAGTATTCTGTAAGCCCTTGATCTCAGCTGAACAGGTGCGGGGGTCTTGCCTTCCATGGTTTTGCCCCGGCAGCGGCAGCGGCAGGGCGGGCAGGCGCGGCGGCGGCGGCGGCGGCGGCGGCAGGACGAGCAGCGGCGGCGGTTATTGTTGTTGGTGGCGGTGGTAGTGTTGGCGAAGTGGGGGAGGGAGGGGGTTTCTCCCGGAGAATCGAGGCGGGTTTCCCTCCCCCTATCTGCAAAGCTCCTGGAAACAGGGGAGCCGGCGTCTTGCTGCAGGATGGGCCGCCCGCCTGCCCCCCCCACCCCACTCCCGGCCGGCTCGGCCCCCGGAGGAGGCGCTCCCACCTACTGCATTACCGGGTGGTGCTGAACTGGACAGCTCCTCGCGCCGCCCGCTTCGCGCGCTCCCCGGCTCCCAGGGCGGCCCGCCAGGAGGGGGGCGCGGGCCGGAATCCTCCCTGCCCTCGGGGGCAGCAAGGCCGGGGCAGAGCGGGGGCTGCCTTTTCCTCTTTTCACCCCGCTCCCAAAATCCTGAAACGAGCGCTCTCCTGGGCTCCCGGAGCTTAGAGAAGGCGTAGCTAGAGATAGCTCTGCTCCCTCTCCCTCTCTCTCTCTCTCACACTCTCTCCCTTTCCCTCCCCCCTCGGTGTTTCTTCCAGCTCAGCCTCCTTCTCATTCCATCTCTACGTGCCCAGAGCTTCAAATACAATCCTCCCATCACAATCAGAGGGGCACAAAACTTCAACCAGCCGGTTCTTTGCCTGGAAGCCCTGAAAATATAACCTGGATGGGTAATTACAAACACCGTCTCTATGTGTTTTTTAAATCGTCGCTTGCACTTTGCCGTTTGGGGGATCTGTTTTGTTTTGTTAGCTGTGTCTCCTTTTGGTTGTTTCTCTTTCTTCTCTGTCTCTTTCTGGCTAACAGGGGATGTGCAGTGCACTGTGCGTGTCTCTCTGTAGTTTTCTGTAGAAATCCTGAATCTTGCTCCTACAAGCAGACATTTTGGAAAGAATATTCATGGAAAAGGGTGCTAAAGGGTGACTGGCGGCTAGAGCTTGGGCAACGATTTTCATCTCAAGGATAAATATGTTCGCAGGGGACATGGGTGAAATGTGAATTCTTCTAAGTTTCCCATGTCATCTGTAAACTGGGTGGGAAGAGATAAAATCTCCCTGCTGTGAATACGGAAACACATTATAACTCTCCCCATTTCCTCAGCAGAACTGTTATCTTGGGTTAATTACAGCATCATCTCTTGTTTCTATATGTGCAAGTTTTCCTTAATGTGACCCCTGGAAAAAGAAGCTCATCAGATTCCTGCTGGTAGTGATTATGTTTCTCTCTGATCAGTTTCCTAGTTAGGGGAGGGAGAGCACATGAGGCATGATGTAGATGCAGTTTTAATTTGTCGGGGGAGGAGCCTAGAGAGAGTTGTGCCTGCCTCTGATGGGTCAGTGGGGTTAGAGATGTTTCCATTTCATAGCTCACCTATTCTGTACTTTGTTTTCTGTTCTTACGTTTTTGTCTGGAGATAATTTGCTTGACAATTTTTCGGTGATCTGGTGATTATCAAAGAGTATACAAAAGATGACTGAACTCAAAACAGACTTTCTTGGGTATTGTCTGATGTTTTTCCCTTTGCCCAGAATTGTTCTGCAGATACGGCCAGTACTGTAGAGGCAAGGGGGAGGGGGGCAGTATAGAAAAACTACCTGTTTCTCCATCCTCCATAAAATGTCCTTCTCTCAGTCTCTCTTCCTGTCTCAGAAGGAAAGGACTCCTATGATGGGTAGTCACTGGGCTCCTGTCACCTTGAAGAGGGTCCTGGAGTCCGGAGAACAGGACAAAGATTTCAGCTACCTCTGCTAAGATACCTTTAGGGTATAGCCCGAACTACTTTTTTGAACTGAGGATTCTCCATTTGGTTTCTTGCCCTTTGGTTGAGGATGGGAATTGGGATGGGAGAGGCACTGGTATGCTGACCTCACTCAGCAGGGAGTCTAGCAAGTTCAGCCAGTGGTTCAAGTGAGTGATTTCCTTGGCTCCCTTCCTTCAGGAAAAAGTGAGGGGCAAGTAGGAAATCCTCTTCAACAGGCTGGCCTTTCGAGGGGAGTGGAGGGAGATGTGGGTATAGCCACAGGAACCTGAGAAGCTTGCTCTCACTTACTCCCCTCATTTTGGTTGCCTTTGACCTAAGAAGTCCCTTCAAACTGGAGATAGACCCCTCCTTCTTACCGCTCCCCCATTCTTTTCAGATCAACCCTTGAATCTTTTGCTCAAAAAGCATTAGTAACAGAGGCTCAAAAGCTTCTGTTTATCCACAGAAGGAGCTAACATCTTAGCCACTGACAGTGGCTGCAGCTTTAGAAACATTTGATTAATCTTCTAGCCAGATAATCATTGAGTCGGGAGGTGAAAGGGGTCAGAACAGCTTTAGGTTGATGGTGTGGAGGGAACTGACACTTCTGGAGACAGAACACCCTGGGAGCAATGCTAGCCTCTGCTACTTGGTAAATGCATGATCCAAACAAGGCAGCTTCCTAGAGCCTCAGTTTCACCATACGTGAAATGAGCACATTAAGTTGTTCCCAGTTACAGCTGCCACCCTGCTCAGATTCTACCATCCCACTTGTAACACTTTAAGTAAATAAAGCCTGTGTCAGCTCTCCCACTGACCTGTGAACACTTTGAGGTCAATAGCTGTGCCTTGTTCCCCATCATATCTTTGGCATCTAGTGCAGGGCTTGATACTTAATAGATACTTGATAAGTAAAGGCTAAGTGATACCAGTGATACTACCGATCATTAGTAGGCATTCAGTAAATGTGGCTTGACTCTCATTAATCCTCCCCCCACCCCGTTTACACACAGATTGGTCTCCAGCTTCTTCTTCCATCTAACTCATGTACCACTCCCCTCCTTGCTCCCCTTAACCTAGTTCTAGTCCAGAGGTCCCTTCTGCAGACAAGGCAAGGTTACCCAAGAAGAACTGGCTTGGTACAAACCCCAGGAGATGCTTTGGATCCACCAGGCACACATACTTAGCAGCTGCTGAATGGATGCTCTTAGGGGAGCAGCTTTGTAAGCCTGCAGTTGGTGACTTGGTGAGGGCTTAGAGGAAATTAGCTGAAATGCCACAGGCCTATTTTGAGCTCCTTTTTTGATGGAGTGGAAATAACATGGGATTTGGGCACAGCAGACCTGGCCTTGAAGCACAAGGCTGCTATTTCCTCATTGTATGACCTTGAGCAGGCACTTAACCTCTCTGGAAATCTCTCTTCATCTGCCAAGGAGGACCACTGGCAGGGGCCTTACAGGGTGGCTGTTAGTGTTACGTGTAAATAGCATGACCGTAGCTAACATGCCAGGCACTGATCTAAGCTGAGGCCCACAACAATCCTATGATAAAGAAACCATCTTACAGATGAGGAACCTGAGTCACATAATGGTTTAAGCATCTAGCCTGAGGTTGTGAGTGACAGTGAGTGAGTGGCAGAACTGGGAGTCTAACCTAGTACCAGGCAGAGGGCCTAGACCTTAACTTCTGTGTCTTGACTCAAGATATAAGCTTTCTGAATAAGGATATCACACCAAGGCTATTTGCTTCTCAACTACAGATTTGGCAAGGATTTAAGGGAGTAACTTCTAGGTGCCAGGTGTTTTCACACAATTTCTCACACTTGCCATTCCAACAACCCTGCAAATGCCTATCACTATCTTACCTTACAGGTGAGCAAACAGAAAGTCAGAGATGTCATAAGTCAAGTCCCAAGGTCACATATCAAATTAAGTGGAAGAGTAGAGATTTGAACATGTTGCACTGCTTCAAATTCTACTAGATCCAAGTCCCATAGTTACTCATTTGTTCATCTGTTCATTCAACAAATCAAGTACCTACTATGTGTCAGGTATGTATAGTAGATTTCCTGGACAAGCTGAGCAGGACAGACATGATCCCTTTCTCCAAGTACCTGAAGACAAGCAGAAGGGGCAGACAGGGGAGGAAGAGCCATGCTGAAGGGAAGAGGAAGTCAGGTGAGGGATGCTGTGGGGCCATGGAGCACCTAGCGGGTGCAGAACATCCTCCTGGGAGGACAGGATATTTAAATTGAGTTTAACTCAAAGTCAGATAGGCCGAGATGGGAGTGGGAGGGTGCAGGGGAGCTGAGAAGAGGAAGGGCATTCCAGACTGAGGAAGCAGCATATGCCAAGGTGCAGAAGTGTGTGCAAGTGGGAAAAGAGGATTGGCTAGTTTTAGGGAAAAGATGCCGACTGATTTAAAGACCATGATGGGGAATGTTTTAGGCTAAGAGCCTATAGGACTTCCCTGGTGGCTCAGACGGTAAAGTGTCTTGCTTACAACCGGGAGACCTGGGTTCTATCCCTGGGTTGGGAAGATCCTCTGGAGAAAGAACTGGCAATCTACTCCAGTGATCTTGCCTGGAAAATCCCATGGACGGAGGAGCCTGGTAGGCTACAGTCCATGGGGTCGCAGAGTCAGACACGACTTCACTTTCACTTTCACTGGAGGCCATGGAAATTTGGCTGAAGCATAAGAAGCCACTCTGAGGAGGCTGGTGGGGTAGGAAGTGTGAGAAGCAAACCTGGAGGCAGGCAGACAGCAGGACAACTATTGCTGTGATCCAAGCAAGAGATGATGGTGGCCTGGACCAGGAAGTGGCAATGGGGAAAAAAGAAATGAGGGTTTTGGGTGTGTTGGGGAGAAAACTGATGAATATTGGCATACACAACTGAGATGCGTTACTTTGAGGAAAAAGCAGGTTGGAGCTTGAGGGGGCTGTGGGGAGCAGGGGAGATTGAGAATTCTGCTTTGGTCACGTGCACAGTTTTGCGTCATACTACCGCCTCTTCACTCCTGCTCCCGCTCTATCTCTTATCAGCATGTGAATGAACTAATCAGGAATGGAAATCATTCATTCAATTATATTCTACCCTCACTAGAATGAAGCCTCACGAAGGCAGGAATTTCAGTCTGCTGCGTTCTCCTTGTATTGATATTTCCAACATTCAGAACTGTGCCTAGCACAGAGCAGACATCTTATAAAAACAAATTACTTTTTTTCACGTGCCTTCTCTGTGC